AAAAAATCCCATATTAATTTTGCCATGGGCATTTTATAAAGGTTGGAAGTGTGAAAGAAACTGCAGAAAGACGAGTAGTGGGGGAGCTGGGTGTCGGAGGCTATAAACGGATTTCCAGCCAGCATTAGTAATTAACAGTCATTAAAATTAATTGTCAAGTGTACAATTTGAAATGAAACATTTGGCTTCAATATGAGCTGTTTTTAAGTGTTGTTAAACCATTGCTGAAGCAGACCAGAACTGTTTTAAAATCTCCACTACTGGACTCCCACATTTCTGCCCAACTGCACTAGCACTAGACATTCATTCAGAATCACCACTTATAATCTGGAAATAAAACTTTCAAAGACATCACTGATTTCAGTGAAATTGCCTCTGAAATGTCTGTTTTGCTATAAAATTAACTTAGTTCTCCTTTAATGACTTTTAAGTGCTACTCAGCTCTTAGAAGTAACAAAGTAAAGACAACACCTTTTGTGGCAGTCAGTGGACTGTCTTGCTGTATCTTTTCAAACTACTATTGACATCCCCAAGGAGATCTGAGCCAATTTCAGTGAGGGCCTTGGTATGGGTCTGGATTTGAGGCTCAAGCACCACTTCTGGCACTTGGCTTACAGGCCTTTCCATTTGGTGGTGAGCACAAAAAGGAAGAAAGCAACTTGAGTTTTCCATCCTTCATTCTGTTTGCAAACCTAACATTTACAAACATTGTCTTAGAAAATAAGTAATAAGGAAGCTGGAGATAATAAAGATTAACTCTCAGTTATTTCAGGCACACTTTTCAGTGCAAAGTGATTTCAGAGTCGCTTTTCTTTACTGAGCAGAAAAGAAAAAATTATGGGCCAGAAATAGCTATTGGTATGTTATAATCACTTCTATCATCTGGGAATGCAAATACATTTTGTACCACTCAAAGGTTTAAAGCAGCTTTTGAGTCAAAGTTGTCTTTTCTTTCTAGGAAGATAAGTGGGATGAATTGGACACAGTTCCAAATAAGTTCTTACCACGAGTAGGTGCATGGTGGTTTCTTGACTGTCCATGTCTTTGAGGGGCAAAAGGCTTCCCAGTCTACTCTGAAAGCTTACTGAGATGGCTCATTACAGCAAGGTGACCTGCTAGACATCCTGCAACTGCCTTTTCTCTTACTCCATAAACATTTAACACATTGGATGTCAGGGTAGGAGGCAGTGGGGAAGCCTCAAGTTTGGCTCTTGCCTTTGTATTCTAGTGTGAAGAGAGTGGTACACAATGCACATAACACCATCCACAGCTCCAGCAGTGCAGAAATGCTAGTGCAGAATAGCTGCAATTAGGAGATGGGAAACAATATTGCCTGAAGGTGGTTTGGTAAAATATTTGAAGTGAGGTTGTCCTTTATAGCCAAAATATACTACTGCTTTCTGCACTCCATTCCAGTCATAGCCAGGGACTACTTCAGACCATGCAGAAGTGAAAGTATATGCTGAGCTACTTTAGTATGTGCTCAAATGATCTAGTTCTGTGATCCCAGCCCCGTGATACAGGATCAGAGTTCAATCCTGCCCTTTTGGTCTGTGAAGCTGTAGGAGGAGGGTGAAGTAAGTCTGAAGTCATGTTCACTTATCTTCTTGCATTCCCAGTCATGGCACCTTAAAGAGATTACAGCCTTCAACTGCTTCTTATCTTCCCTCCACTGCAGTGCTCACTGGTCAGGGTGTTTGAGTACTCACTAACCCACTTCAGGTTAAATCAAGTGGGTTAGCAAAGATCCACTGTTCAACAACTTACTGTTTAAACTGATCTGGCTCATTTTGACAGAGTATCAGGTTATATCAGCAGCAATGAAGCATGGTGAAAAACAGATGGGGGAGTAACTTCTTCAGCTGGAACTCAGAAGATCTGAATCCATGCTTTGGGAGTATGACTCATGGGGTTTGCATCATAGTACCTTACACACTGGAGGAGGCAAACTCTGAATTATATTCTGACCATGTTGCTTTTTACTGCATTAACTAAAAAGAGCATTCTGCAGCTAAGGCAGCCAACCTGATCGAGCTCTTTGCTTCTCTGCTCAAACAACAGAGCTTTCTGGTGTTCCCTCGGGGTCTGCTTTGCCAACTGCCTAGTCTTACTATGTGATGTAGTTCTGTGTTTGTGATATGTGTGTTTGTATTGTCATTCGATGTGATATTGTGTCAGATACTGCTTTTTCCATTTCATCTATGAAACACATACCTTTTAAGAGAAACTCAACAGACAAGAGAATGGTTTGAGGGCAAACTCCCCACTGTAGTTTCTACGTATCTCCTATATGACAGTTGTACTTAATATCATTTCTCCACCACTCTGAAATCACAGAGATCTTTCATTTCTATCCCCAATTAGAACAGGATGTTTCTTCACCTGACTCTGCTTTCACTTAGATAAATAAGTAGCTTCACTGAAGACAGAAGATACATACTAGCTTGAAACTACAGTGAGCCTGGGAGGTGGTGACAGTGTCAGTCTAGTTGGTATTGAAAAATAATTCATGTTTTATGGTCCTTTGCTGGGTGGATTTTCTCATCTTCATGTATGTTTGATGCCTTGATCATAAACTTGGAGGACAGTTGTTCTTTCTTGTATATACTTCTCTCTGAATTCATGCTTTGTACAAAACCTAGCCTCATGTTTGCCTTTGGAGGCCTGCCCAGTGCATCTTCAATACTTACTGAGTCAGAAATGGACTGTCTTAACAGCCTCATTTTACATATGGTTACAACTTGCTCTCAAGTTTTAACCACCCAGAAGCACACTGGCAAGCTCCTGCCTTGCAGGCAGTTTGAATTTAATGATTGACATTCTCCATGTATCCAAGAAAGTTTCTTCTAAGAATGCATGTTAATTTAATGGAGAGCAGACCATTTTCATCTCGTTATTCAGAAATGGTCTGATTCCTGCCAGGCATGCTGTTGGAATTTCTCAACTGTTACCCAACTATTGCAGCTGGACCATCCTGCCACAGTTGTGTTGTCTGTCATCCCTGACTGCCATCAGTGATAGCACTCACAGCAGAATTTCTTCCTGTTTCAGATTTGTATCTGCATACTGAAAACTCCTGTCGTCTTCACTTGTTCTTGTGGACTTAACTTTTGTTGGTGAAGCAGTCATTTTTTCCCCAGCTAGTGTCAGTCAATATCTGTGAAATTTCAGCCAATATGTAGTTCTCTAGAAAAGTATTAATGTCAGAAACATACAAGTTTTCTCCTAGTTGTCAGCTAACCTGCCTACTCTCTATGGCCTCCCTATTCCAATGAAGAGTATTTGATCTGTAGATTTTGTAGTTTCAAACTCTTCTCCCATTCAGTGCAGTTTAGAGAAAGCTATACATCAACTAGGTTTCTTTTCACTATCAGTCATGACCAAGAAGCCAAACTAGATCTTGGAAATTTATGAAAACAGATCTTTTGCTCACAAGTATTATCCTTTATTAATCCAGCGTTATTTTTCATTGTTTACATTATTTTTAATCTCCAAGGAGCAGACATTATTGCATAGGATCAAATATTTTTAGCATCTTCTAAAATTATGCTGTCATGTGCCACAAAAGGAAGTATTTAGAAAAGGAGCACAGGTTAAATGAGAGCATCACAATATAATGTAGAGTCATTGCTCCAATAGAAACCAAGATGAGCAGAGAAAATGTATATGAAAGCAAGTTAGCAAAATATATTGGGTTTGAATCAAAATTTGTAGTATATCAGAAGCTGGTACCTATGAGCTCCATAGTACCTAGGAGAGACATGGTTTCTGGACTAGATTTGTACTGTCAAGGCCCAAACCCTGAGCATGACACAGAAACTTGACACGGTGGATGAAAGCTTCAAAAAGAACATCTTTCAGCTTGCTAGAATTCTGATTTTCTTGGGCAAGTCTCACTTTCCTTCTGTGATTGGATGAGGAAGAGAGATACATCTGAAACATATTAAAAACAGGATAAAAGTGAATAAAATATTACCTCTAGAATGACAGAGTAGAGTTTTAAATTATAAGATACTAAGTTTACTTTTCACATCTTGAAAACCTCTTCCAATTTTAAAATACATATTTCACCTCTGCCATAAGTTCTGTCATGCTTTCGATCATAATAGTTTCAGCCAAGACAAAATGTTTCAGAAATGAAGGACTAGATCCATAAAATTTCTGGTGCTGCTTGTACTTAACTTTTCCAAGTACCTTTTTAGGACTCTCTGCTTCTATTCATTTAAAGAGGTGCTCAGGTTTTCAAAGCACTCAGCTCCCAGTGATTTCTGGCTTCCTAAGCCGTGCAAGCCAAGGCTGTGCTAGCTAAAGCCATGAACCACGTGCCCTGATTCTGAGAGGCACTTGGTACAGTTTGCTGTTTATGAAGGTATCTGCACATGCTCAGAGGTACCCACTGTTTCTGAAGTCTTAGATTAAATGTCCCATAATCAAAGACAATTGATGTCATCTCACTTCCCTCATCAGGTCAAAATTTTTCACCTTCTTTGCACTGTGAGCAGCTGTATGTATATATATACATATGTATATATGTATATATGGACAGTGTTTCTCTGTTATGTGCCTTTCTCTTTTTTGGAGAAAAGTTTGCAGTTGTGTGGGGCTGTGGCTGTAGCCAGCAGGAACAGAAGGAGCTCTCTTCAGCAGGGAAAACTGCTTCTTTGTTTTCAAAATGGTATTTGAGGAATCAAGGGTTCTCTCTGGAAAAGAAGAGAGCAAGAACTCTGGTAAAGTCATTTTGAGGACACTAATAGTGATCAGTCTTGATAATCTTTAATTTACTTAAAGCTACCAAATGTAGACTTCAGATAGAAATAGCAGCAGCACCACTGCAGCTCTGCAGGTGACTCAAGCACAACGCTCGATTTAAACCAGCCAGGCTGTCCGTGTACGCACAGGCAGGTCAGGATTGCAGTGCTTTGCCCTGTGAGAAACTGATGCACTCAAAAAAACTAGTCTAACCATTCTTCCTTCTCTTTCTCTCCCGTTGTGTCCCTCAGGCTTTCTGTCCCAGCTGGTCTACGAGCGGCCAGTGACCGAGTGCATCCGGGCCGGACATTACGCCGCCAGCGTGATCATCAAGCGTTCGGGCTGCACCTTCCCAGAGAAGCCTGACTTCCACTGATACTGGTGAATTGGAGGGATCAAGAGTAACTTCCGTGTTGCCATGGGATTGCTGCCTAAATTTTTCCTCCTTCCCTTTCCTCACCTTTCCAGTACCTGCATCAACGCTTCTGTACTTCTGTTCATTGTATTCTAAACAAAATATATATTTCTATGCTGTTTTCCATTTCATGCATCTACAATGTCTCAGTAGTCTTAACTTTTGGAAACAGTGCTAAGTGAAGCTTATTATCTCATCCATCAGGAAAAAATGTTCTATTTACACAGTTTACAAGAAGGTCCCACTTAAATGACACTGCTGATTAACACCATTAAAATACTTCTGTTGAATTATCTAGTTTGTATCCAGCTGTGGCCAAATCCTATTCAACTTCCATGAAATCAACAGACCTGACTTTATTTGTCACTTAACATTATAAACCAGGAATTGTTCTATTATAGTTGAGTCAGACTAGTGTAAAGAGAGGTCTAAATGTCCCAAGAATTTCCATACATATTGGAGTGTACAAGATCTGCCCATCAGATCCAGCCCAGCTTCCATGAAAGTGCATCATTATTTTGTCAGTAATTTAAGGACATGATCCAAAGGTCATGTCATGCATTCAGTTGTCTTGCACTGATGCCAGTGGCTTTGGGTCTGGCACTATGTGAGAGCAGGGTCTGGTCACCCCAGGTACAGTCACTTCTACCTGTCAGGTGAGCTCACAGATAGGTACTTTCGGTGATTTCAGGGCAGATGCATGAGTTGATGATGAACACAAACATACAGATAGTTCCTATCTCCTCCATGTGAGCTTCCTAGAGGCTACATTAAGGTACACATAATGAAAATGAGGTACAGAAATATTTATGCAGGATATATTGACAGGATATGCCAAATGGAATCTCTGAAACGCACATTTTTAAACTTTTAATTTACTTTGGATAATTAAGCAATATGGTGGATTTTGTTTGTATTTACAGTATTCAAAGAGTTGATCTGACACTGCATTCATTACTTTGCTATGTAATTTGATACTGATAAATAAAAAATTGTCATACAGTAACTCCTGGTTTTGTATTGAT